GGGTGAAGATATGGTGATTTCTGACACCCAATTTCCCTTCGTAATGCTGAACTTTGCTTAGGCTGGAGCCGATATTATACAGCGTAGTTATCTTTGCCGGCCCTACCTCTAGATTTTTCTCTTTCACCCCCTCCCGGTTTTCATCAACGCTTCATTCCCGTGCGTTCTCGCAACACGTCGAGAATCTACTATGTGACTATATACGAGAGCCACTCAAGCCTATGCTCGCTGACTGCTCCGCCGTCAAAAATTTTGCGCTTCTTTGCCCGGACCCGAGCGCATTACCGCTGCTGTCGGCCATGCCCCTGCGCTGCCTCCACACTGGATTGAAATCCCTATTCCGTGGCACTGCCCTTGATTTTACGCACCCACTATTTTCGCACCTCACCCATCTTGAATTGACGGAATCCTTGATCGGGTGGCAGGGTCTTGCGCTCATCCCCAATCTCACGCACCTGGCCTTCCAACACCAAATATCGCTTTCGGTCTTTGAGGGCGTACTCGCGACGTGCCCTACGTTGCGGGTTCTCGTTTGCCTTCTTGATTTTCAGGATGATTCTGATCTCGCGAAGAGTCTCCACTCGCTTGTGCAGGATACGCGATTTGTATGCATGCTTTCCCCGAACTTTGTTGAAGATTGGGAAATTGGTGCCCGGCGTGGAGAGGATTTTTGGGTCCGCGCGGAAAGATTCATTGCTCAGTGCAACTCCGGCGAAGTTGATCGTAAGTTCTTGGTCTGTATGAACCGTATGTATACCTATCGAGACGTTCCATTCGACAGGCGGGATCTTCGTGTTGCCGAGAGCATGATGCAACATCGCACGAGTACGTTCCCGCAGCCCATCTCGCTGGTTTTACCTTTCTGTCCACGATAATTCCGTGGTGGCTTCATAGCCAGAATCAACGCTTTCCTTGTTGGAACCTGCGCGATCTTTTGTTTTCGCTAAAATCCAACCCTATGATTTTCTGGATGTCCTGTGTATGTAGGTGCTGGGCATTGTAACAAAGAAGAAAGGATCGAGTCCAACTTTCAAGTTGAATCAAACATGCACTGTGAATCAAAACGCGACAAAACAAATTGCAACGTGAAATGCATCTGGACTCTCTCTGAAGCATCAACCAGGGGCGGCTCGAGTTCCTAATTGTGGCGCGAAACACTGGGGCTAAAAATCGGCCAGGCTTAAACGTTAGCCAAGTCCAGGCACGCCAGAGTCTTCGTGTGTATGACGAGTTCAAGCTCGTACTCCCTCGCCTGTTATGGGCTTCAACCTTCGAGGAGCGTTTACACCGTTGCAGGGAACACAACTAAATTCTGAACCACGATTTATTCGAAGATCGGATCCGCTGTGACTTTTCCATCTTTCTTTAGAGATTGTATACCTGTACATATATTCTCAGCCGACTCGGATTCCACTGTGGCTTCGGGGTGCGGTGGACGGAAACCAACCGCGTCGAAATTGGGAGGTGACCGGTTTGGTTCGGTATGGGGCGATAAAGGTGTGTTTCAGAAGGATGATAATCAATTCCAACATCTGGCGAATCCGTTCCCGCGGCTCATTGCACAGGTCACATATTCTTTCAGCCCCCAAACCCTCGGTAGCTTTGTAGCCGGAACCAAAGTTTTCGGGATAGGAACTTACGGGATGTTTTTTATTTTAGGTTTAGTAAATTTCCACTGGGCAACATTTCGTTCGACGTTCCCCGTGCGATTTCAATTGACCCCTACCTATCTCCGCGACACAGTAGAGCAGTACATTCAATAGGCGAGTCTTCTTCCATTCCCATTGGGGATGCAGTTGCACCGCGTGCACACCATTCTGCGATGCCCAGTTCTCCCGCATGGCATTGGTTTTGCACCATTTTAAAAAAAATCATCCCTCTCGACATTCTGAAATAACCAAATTCAATTCCATGCGGCCTCGGTGTTCCTGCGGGTGCGGTGGATGGAAGCCAACACGTCGGAATTTGCAGATTAGGAAAATTGATCTGGAGTACTCAGCTCACATATTTCCCCACAATTCATAAACCAAACGCAAAATCAGGGTGAATGCTTCATATTGGGCAATGAATTGTTCAGTGAGTCTTCGTTAGAAACCTGGACCAGGGTACTTATTACGAATGAATCAACGTTGAATATTGTATGCTGATGGTTGAAGTAGCAGCTTGGATTACATACTCAATTTATTGGACCTGAAAATATTCATGGTTGATTTTGAATTAGTCGTGAATGAGTACTGTACCTTTCTGAACCGTTGTGTCATCACCAAAACCGGGAATTTCTGATATGCCGCGATGTTTCTCCCGCTTTTGGTGATGGTGGTCGTATGGACTCCCAAATGATGTGGCTATGCTCAATCATCTCTTGCTTCTGTCACTCATGTCGGAACCCATCCCGAGGCTTCCTGCTGAGCTGGAATACCACATCTTTGAAATTTCCGCTCATTTACATCCCAAATCCATCCCGATTCTGCTATTGGTCGCCCGCCGGGTGAAGATATGGTGATCTTCGTTCACCATTCATTTTCTGTTCGTAATGCCGAACTTTGGTTAGGTTGGAGCCAGTCCTATACAACGTGATCGTCTTCGACGCCGAGTGGACCGGCGACTACCCGAGCCCGTGGCCCAGGTTTGACCCCGCCCGATTCTCACCGGCGCTTCATTCCCGTGCGTTCTCGCAACATGTCAAGAATCTACTATGCATACATGTACGGGTTCCACTCAAGACCATCTTTGCGAACTGCTCAGCCGTCCACAACCTGGTGCTCGTTGTCCACGGTTCGACTCCCACATTCCCATCGGCCATGCCTCTCCGCCGCCTGTGCACCCAACTGAAACGCCTGTTTTCTTCAACTGGCGTTGATTTTACGCATTCATTATTTTCACACATCACCCACCTCGAATTGATTGATCGCTTCATTGAACGCGGGGAGCATTGGAGAGGACTCGCGCTCATCCCCAGCCTCACGCATTTGGCTTTTTGGCAAATGCAGCAGCAATCTATTCCAGTCCTTCGAGCCACGCTGACTGCGTGCCCTACGTTGCGGGTTCTAGTTTGTCTCCATTACGATCCTATGGATCCGGGGGAGTATTCGGAGAAGGATCCGTGGAAGGGCTTCGAGGTGCTTGGGCAGAATACGCGATTTGTGTGTATGATCACTTCGCACTTTGCCCAGGACTGGCACATTGGAGCCCGCGGGGGAGAGGACTTTTGGATCCGTGCGGAAAGACTCATTGCTCAACGGAACTCTAGCGAAATGGATCGTGAGTTCCGGGGCTGTACAAACCGTACGCAGACTCGCTAATAGCCGCATGGCATTTCACAGGTGAGACCTTTATATTGCTGGAAAGATGATCCAGCCCTGTTTTCCGGCGACCCATTCAGGGTTATATTCCTTCGGCCCGCGATAATCCTGCGGTGGCTTTATGAACCTTTTCTTCCAGAACTTCCGAGATCTTTTTGTGTTTGCTAAATTTCAACCCGATAATATTTGGTTCGAGGCTCCATGTTCAGTCCTGGGTGGTTCCTCTCATGTCGTCACGACTAACCATTCAACAAGAAGTACAACAAATCCGAATTTGGGCCAACGGACGCCACGCGTTAAACGCCTGTACATACACAGCTTTGTTCCCAAACCCTCTGGCCCATGTAAATGCAGTTGCGTAGACGTCAACAGTACTGAGAGGCGCAACAGGCCAAATGCTTACGGTCCACGTGCTTCGTCGTTTACCCGCCGAAGGGCTCGCCACGCGTGTCCGTATTTCACTAATATTCAAATCATGAATACTTACACCACTAATAGAGACCAACAGACTCAGACTTCACCTACCAAGACGCTGACGCCTTCGAACATGCTCTCCCAGAGAGTGGTACAATCTTCTCGACACCCCATTCGAGAAAAGCATTTGAATGGGTCGAAACTCATTACGAGGACGACCTCTTCGCTTGGATGCGAATACATATGCGGGCTCGATAGGCCCATGGGTGCGATGTTGTTCCCGGAGACGCGGATACGCGCCATTTTGGATCAAGCAAGAATCCGTGCTGAGTCGGTGCTTCATGTGGCGAAGGCCCTTAGCAGCGCGTCAGCCTTTCCGGTATGTATGCGGCTGTACTGCCACACGGCGGCGACGCGTGTGTAAGCTTTGAGGCGTGTTCCCGCCACCCACATCCTCATCCTCAACCATCCACGAGACTCAAGGTCCTGCATGTATGTGCCTTTGCGTGGATAAGAAAAGTACTAAAATGAACAGTTCTCTCGGACCGTAATTTTTCTGCCAACAGCTCGCCAGCCTTGTCCGTTTCCGACGGGAACATGTTGTGTCCGTGAACGCTCACATCATATTTAAACCAAATGTTTCTAAACCTACGGTTTACCCATCAAGACGCTCACGCTTTCGAAGATGCTCTGCCAGAGGGCGGCGCGATACGCTCAACGCACTATCCGAAGGAGGCGCTTGAGTAAGTAGCCTTCAAGCTTCCCGGATATTTGGATTTTTAATTAAGAAAGATGGCTGCCAGGACACCGTTCGAAGACTACAATTTCCCCGTCGGAGAATCAAGAATTCAACCACAATTTCGAAGTTTCCCTTTGAAAACTTCAGAATGCACTGAAGCGGACTGCCTCGCAGTGACGGATTTCTTACTGATTTAAATTCTGTGTCCCAGGATATTTCACACGATGCTGAGCTGGAGGGAAGTCGCCGACCTCATATGGAGGTTGCGTGTTGATGAGAGTTCAAATCACCAATGGCGTTGATGCAACGTCCAATGCCGAACTTCAAGCAAACTTCCGCAAGACATTCTTTTGTTTTTTTCCCAGCAAGACTGATCTCAATCGAAATCCTGTATGCCAGACTGCCGTAGCCGCTCTTCAACCAGAAATGTCCAAGAAGCAGTCCTCAGTCGCGTGGCAAGTATGTGAATAGTTTATCATTCTCTCGCGGTCGACGAAAGGTACTTCGGGCAGGAAACCCTTCAAGATGTCATCATTCCACCTATTTGCTCCCAATAGGATCTCGAACCCAAGACCTTCGCGTTATTAGCACGATGCTCTAAACAACTGAGCTAGAACCCAATAGGATCTCCAGGCTTGAAGGTATAGTACAATATCGTGCATTTGTTGCTAAGTACTAACTTGAAGAACAAATATCGGCACGCCGCCCAGGTCCTATGTAACCCGCTCTCAACGCTATTCCTCGCCCTTGATGGATAAATCCGGTCATCATTTTCCTTCAGTAGAATATCCGATATCGCGCCATAAATACCACGTCTTTGTACTATCGAAATCACCTCTTTCGAATGGAGCTTCTCTCTGGAAAAGGGCATGCCTGGTGCCAGTGGTTCAAAGTAAAGTCGCAGCTAAATTTACGCATCCATTCTGCTGGCACCCAAAATTTCAGGCTGGGTCAAAGTATAGGTCGGGTGTTTTGCGGCGAACATCAACCATTGTTTGACCATAACTTGAATAACTTGCGATGTGGCTGTGCTCAATCGTGCTTCATACTATTTCAACTGCGGCCGCGCCTCTTGCTTCCTCATCGTCTGTCTGCGATCTGAAACCAAACCTGGGCGGCGTCTCCCATCGTGGCCATCAAGCTCTCCGCCGAGGACTCGGAACAGCGGAAGCAAGTCGAAACCAAGAGCGACAGGGAAAAGACCGTATCGATTCCAGTGAATTTTGCATTTGCGTTGGGATAGCCATCGATACGGGTACGGGACGCCAAGAAGCTGCAGCATGATGGGATTAAGGTCGAGTTTGTGGGGAGTATAGGTGCGTCTTCTCGTTTCGTTCTGTTGCGCACAGACATGCATGTATTGTGGAATGCTGCCATGTCTCCAATTCCTCCCCGCCTCATAATGAATGAGCATACTCACTGACACACCCATACATTTGCAGAACTATTCTACCGAGTTCCTCTTATCGCAGGAGTTCACCGCGCCGGGCGAGATGCGGCAGGCGCAGACGTACGACTTCGACTTCAACAACGTCGAGAAGCAGTTTGAGAGCTACCATGGCATCAACGTAAAGCTGCGGTGAGCTCTCCCTTTCCCCCACTCTCGTCCTCCCTCTCTAGGAGCGCGACATCTGCGTGCACTCGTTCGTGGCGGACGTCAACAAGGAGCGCGACATCTGGGTGCACTCCTTCCGGCCGCCCCCGGAAACGAATGCGACGATCAAGATGGAGGTGAGGATTGAGGACTGCTTGCCCATTGAGTTTGAGTATAAACAAGTCAAAGTGCGTTTGCCTCTCTTATCCTTTCGCTACCTTTCTCTCTACCGTCCCTCCTCCTCTCTTCTACCATATCCCCTCCTTCTTTCCTTTCCCCTCTACGTGTCCCTCGTCGCATGCTGACCTCGTGCCAGATACCATCTCAAAGACGTTATTGTGGGCAAGATCTACTTCCTGCTCGTGCGGATCAAGATCAAGCACATGGAGCTCTCCATTATACGGCGGGAGACGACGGGGAGCCCGCCGAATCAGTACAACGAGAGCGAGACGATCACCAAGTTTGAGATTATGGACGGCTCGCCGGTGCGGGGTGCATGGCTTCTTTCTCTTTGTGGTCTTGGTCTTAGTTTCCTGTCCTGGCGACGAGGCTGCCCTTGTTGGCGACTTGTCTCCTCCCCCGGAGTGCACCCCCTTTCCCCCGCCCGCTGTCTTGCTTATGCTTATGGTGACTGACCTCCGCTCCACAGGCGAGACGATCCCGATCCGCCTCTTCCTCGGCGGCTTCGACCTCACCCCGACGTTCCGCGACATCGACAAGAAGTTCAGCACTCGGTACTCCCTCGGCCTCGTTCTTATCGACGAGGAGAACCGCCGGTATTTCAAGCAGCGGGTGGGTTATTGGCCTTCGTCTTCCTTCCTTCTTCCTTCTTCTGAGCCGGGCTTGCGCCTCCCTCCCTTCCCTCCCCCTCGCCAAGAATCTTTGACTTGCCCCTTCCCTCGCCTTCCCTCGCTCGCCCCTCGTACGGTAGTCGCTTACTAACACCCTCTTTCTTCTCGCAGGAGATCACGATCGTCAGTATACCAGAGGTACGCCTTTGCTTGTTATCTTACTATCTCAATTCTGCAGACTGACTGATTCTCTGCTCACATGCATCTATTATCCTTACGATATTAGTATTACGACGCTACTAGTACACTTCCCTTGGCGCGGCTTACGCTGTACTTCCTCTACCCGCCTCCGCTGCCTACCCACGACCGCCTGCCTACCCACCTCCTCTACCTACCCGCCCCCACCCTACCCCGCCTACCCCGCCGCCCCCTCCGTACCCCTACCTATCTCTTTTGCGTGTAAGTATAGTAAGCGGTCTTGCGGGAAATTTTCTAAATCCTAAATTAATCCGAAGGCCCAAGGACGCGTGTGTTTGGGGTTGTCGTGTCGAGACCCAAAATCCGGTTGCTGCGTCAAAGACCTAAATTTTCGGCGCCTTTTGGGGGTTCAAAGCTTCGCGGGCCTGGCGTCTATCGCTTCAGAGCGAAACTGAGTATTGATGAAATGATAGGGTGGCTATGCTCAATCATCTCTTGCTTCTGTCGCTCATGTCGGATTCCATATCGAGGCTTCCTCCTGAGCTGGAACGCCACACCTTTGAAATCGCTGCTCACTCGGATCTAAAATCTATCCCGACCCTTCTGTTGGTCGCCCACCGGGTGAAGATATGGTGATTCCCAACATTCAGTTTTCCTTCGCAGTGCCGAACTTTGCTTAGGCTGGAGCCCATATTATACAGCGTGGTCATCGCTTCTGATCCCCTCACCGGACTTCTATGCTTTGACCCCGTCCACTTCTCATTGGCGCTTCATTCTCGCGCTTTCTCGCAACATGTTACGAATCTACTTTGCAGATGGTTCCCACATCCACAGCTTGTGGCCGTTCTCGCGAGCTGCTCGGCCGTCGAAAATTTGATGCTCCTTTCCAACCATCCGGATCTCCTCCCCTTCCTTTCCGCCATGCCTCTGCGCCGCCTCCACACCACACTGAAAGACTTGTTTCCAACTGGCGTTGATTTTACGCATCCGCTATTTTTACACATCACCCATCTCGAATTGATGGATAGCCTCCACGGCGGTGAAGACCTGTGGAAGGGTCTTGCCGTGATCCCCAATCTCACGCATTTAGCCTTTTGGACGCTACGATCCATCCCATTCTTTCGAGCCACGTTGGCTGCGTGCCCCACGTTGCGAATTCTAGTTTTCCGCTATCATCGGGCTCGGGCTGATCTGGGGAAGCGTCTCGACTCGCTCGCGCACGACACGCGATTCGTACTTATGTCTGCCCAATCTTTCATCAAAGATTGGCAAATTGGGGCCCTCGGCGGAGAGGACTTTTGGGTCCGTGCAGAAAGATTCATTGCTCAGCGCAACTCGGGTGAAATTGATCGTAAGTCAGGGCGATGGGCAATTCGTGCGCGTGCTGATGACTTACACAGGCGAGACTTATGTGTTGTGGGAAGCATGATACAACCTGGTGGCTGCTTTGCTGGGTCCATTCCACCGGCGATATTCGTTCCGCCCATAATTCTGTGGTGGCATCGTAACCAGAATCAATGGTTGCTAGATCTTGTGGTTTTCACTAAAATTCAACCTGATGGTTTTATCGACGTCCTTCATAGGCGCTGGGTACTGTATCAATGAAGAAAGGGTCGGGTTTGAACTGGTAAGTTGAGTCAAATTCAACATGGCCCTCTGGGCACCCCTGGAACCTAACACCGGACCGGACCGCACGCCGGACGCCTTCCACATTCATCACTGCGGTGAAAAGCAAAGGCAGAATCTTAGGCGAACTTTGATTGCTGGGATGGTGTTGCACGGCCATCCGAATATGGCCTCGCTATTTAAACAGTTCAACATCTTGATGAAGTTGTCTGTTCAGAATTGCTGGATCGAATTTAGGCTCCCCTCGTCGTTCGCTTTGCAATGGATTTTGATCATGTTCAAATGCAAAGTCGAATGTGAACTGATATTCCCTCTGTTCGAAGTGGCGCGGTAGCAGCAAAGGTATGTATGGTCTCGGATTATACCGCAGTACAGAAAAGTATTACCAGGTCCGAACGAGATTATTGGTTCACGACAAGTGCGAACAGTTGAGAGTGGAATCGTGCTCTTCTACTACTTAAACTTGTTATGAAAATCTATCACTACTCAATCTCCTCCTCATCCGTCCAAGTCATTGACTCCTCATTGTATCCGTATAGGATTTTTACCCAGGAACAGTTTCAATCGGAAAATTGACACAGTCGCAAGGCAGAGTCTTCGGTCCACCATGAGGCTCCGCATCCGAGTCCAAGTTAATTAGCACCAATCATGAAACAGACTCGAACCGGTGGTGCACGTACACCGTCACCCCCAAATCGCGCATATTCTATGAGGGTAGCATCACCCTGAGGCGGCACTCCCGGCCATATATATTTATGCGAAAGATTGTCAGAACAATCAACCACTGGACTTGAGTGAGAGCCAACGATGTGTACAAAGTTAAATAAAGAACGCTAGCGATACTTCAGTCCAGTTCCAATCAGATCAGTATCATCTCTTTGAGTTAAGAGGGTACCAATATACAATATAGTGCCTCTGCTTCCTGCAGTGGCGAGAAACTCGAATAACCAAGGTCTGATATCCGTCCAAGGAGGAATGACAGACATACATAACTGTCGACAGTATATTGCAGCCAAAAATATCTTCATGTTGAACGAAATCAGTTAGCAGAACTTGAGAAAAAGCCGTATCCCATGGTGAAGTCATCTCTTTGCCGCTTCTACTATGCCAGAGAATATATGGGCAAGGCCTGTTCCTTCACAAGCGTCAAATTCGTGGCCTGGGGAAATATTAGCCCTGCGCCTGAGTGAGAAACCCTCCGCCGGCGTGTCCTATACACCCGAGAATGCAGTGTCAAATCCAGATTTAAATTTCTTGGAAAAGCAAGCGAAAGCACTCACGCAGTTATCCTGGGACCGGAAGGCACGCATATCACAAATGGTTGTATTCTGACAGTCGGCGTCGCATGCGGTCACTGCGCCGCCGCGACTTATAAAAGTGTTGAACATCTGGAACGCGGTTTCGTTGAT